CCGGGCAAAAGGCACATCGGGCAGGGACTCCGGGCAGAGGCACATGGTTTTTCCCAGGCAAAGCAGCAGGCAGCGGGCCACCAGGCGGGCACGGGCCCCCGGGCCCCCGGGCGGAAGCGGGAGGCCCCCCCAACCCGGGGCCCCCGGGGGGAAAAGGGCGGGAGGGGGCCCCCCGGGGGGGCCCCGGGGCCCCCGGGCAAAAGCGCAGGCGGGGGCCCCGGGCGGGGGGGGGGATCCCCGGGCCCACCCGGCCCCCCGGGGCGGGGGGGGGGGCACCGGGCCCCCGGGGGGGCAACCAAGGGGCCCCCGGGGCCAAACCACCCCGGGACGGGGCGGGGGGGCATCGGGCCCAAGGCGGGGCGACCGGCTGGGGCCCCCCAAGGGGGGGAAGGGCACGGGCCCCCAGGGGGCCCCCCAACAGCTTGGGGCCCCCAGGCGGGGGGGGGGCGGGACCCCGGGGACCGCCGGGTTGGGGGCCCACAGGCATGGGGGGCCCCCCCGGGGAAGGGGAAGGGGGGACCGGGGGGCGGGCCGGGCCCCCAGGGGAGAGGACGGGTTCTGGGGCCCCCTTTCAGGGGGAGCGGGGGGCCCGGGACCCCCGGGGGTGGAGCACAGGTCTGGGGGGCCCCCTGGGGGGGAGGCGGGGCCCCCGGGAGGCGACGGTCCCCCAGGGGAACAAAAAGGGGGGACAGGTCTTCGGGCCCTCAAGGCGGAGCGGCGGGCGCCGGACCCCCAGGGGAGACGACAGGTGGGCTCCGAGTCAACAGGCACGACAGTGGGCACCGGGTCACCAGGTACCGGATTGTCTGGCTCGACAGCGGGCATCGGGTGTCACCAGGTATGACAGCGGGCATGGGTCACCAGGCATCAGGTCATTTGGCTCGACAGCGGGCACCGCATCATCTGGCAAGACAGTGGGCTCCGAGTCAAACTGGTATGACCGCGGGCACTGGGTCAGACATTGGATCGTCTGACTGGACAGCGGGCATCGGGTCACCAGGCATCAGGTCATTTGGCTCGACAGCGGGCACCGTGTCATCTGGCAAGGCAGTGGGCTCCGAGTCAACAGGCACGACAGTGGGCACCGGTCATCAGGTAGCAGATTGTCTGGCTTGACAGCGGGCACCGGGTCACCAGGCATTGGATCGTCTGGCTCGACAGCGGGCATCGGGTCACCAGGTATGACAGCGGGCCCTGGGTCACCAGGCATCAGGTCATTTGGCTCGCCAGCGGGCACCGCGTCATCTGGCAAGGCAGTGGGCACCGAGTCACCAGGTACGACAGCGGGCTCTGAGTCAATTGGCACGATAGCGGGCACCGGATCAGGTACCGGATCATCTGGATCAACAGCAAGCATCGAGTCAACTGGCCTAATAGGATCGTCAGGCTGGATTAGTTCATCATGCTGGGTAGAGGCATCAGGCTGAATGCCGGCGTCCCGGTTGAGTAGAGGCTTCAGGCTGAGTAGAGGCTTCAGGCTGAGTAGAGGCTCCAGGCCGAGTAGAGGCTTCAGGCCGAGTAGAGGCATCAGGCCCGAGTAGAGGCTTCAGGCAGAAGAGAGGCATCAGGATGCATACAGGCATCAGGCTGAGTACAGGCATCAGGCTGAGTAGAGGATTCAGGCTGAGTAGAGGCTTCAGGCTGAACCACGGAAGGCAGGTTCACCGGTTTGGATACTGGCAGGATGGTATTGGTTGGAAAGAATTTTTGCTTTTTTCTGGTTTTAACTACTGGAGCACTGCAAGTAAACGCAGGTCTGCAAACAAATGGAGCAGCTGGAGACAGAGAAGAACTGGAGGATGGAACAGGAGAGGGAGCAGTTGCTACAGAGGGCTTTTTTACAGGGTTAAAGGCAGGATAGGTGCAGCGAGTGGGAACAGGTTACTGACATGCGGTAGATAGCCAAGTATACTGGGCTGTAACTGGGGGAGTTGTTGGGAATACAGGAGTAGAGCTTTGAGGAAATAGATTAGAAGCAGGACTGGGTCTTTGTAAGCTGACTGAGGCTGGGTGCAACAAGTCTGTCCATGTCTGCAGTATGGGTTGAACAAAGCTGAGCTTACACAAAGCCTGTCTGACCAAAGACTGCACTGCGTTTATACAATCTCTTAGTACCTGTGGTGAACATGTGGAATAACGCTCCAGAAAGTAACCCACATCATCCTCTAATAACCACACACCAGGGACTCTACCTGGTCTGCACTAAATGGTGGCAAAAATTCATCCCTGCATTCTGGGGAACCAGATGAAACCAACTCAACACAAACCTTAATCAATGGCTGCACCATAGAGAAATCTGTGCCCTGATCTACTAGAACATGAGCGAGCCGTATACATTCTAGCAGTTCATCCCGGGGATACTCCTTCAGAGTCTGATAAGCATACTCCCTGTCATCAAACACTAGCAGAGATAAATACTCAACCTCATCCAGATCCATCCTTCCCAGCAGCAAGCCAAGATGGCTTCCCTGTGCAGCCACTTCTGGTCAGGATTGGCCTTGGTGTAATGTCAGGGCTCCCAGGTGTGACCAGAGGTGTGTGACTGACGCAGGGAAACGCAGACTTCAGATATGTGATAAACAATATAATTTATTAACACTAACCATACAAACATAAACGCAGTGCAATACTAAAACATAATACAGTGCAAACAAACCAAACCAACCACCCACAGATAACAGTACATACAAGCAAGCGCCGTCAGGCAGGCCGGGTCAATATCAATAGGGCAGGTAGGTACAGGGGGAGCAAGCGGAGATGGGTCGGGGTCACAGGCCAGGTTCAGCAGGTAGCTAGCAGCGTAGTACAGAGGGTCAGGCAGAGGGATGATCAGGGTCACAAGCCAGGGATCAGAACAGGTAGCAAGCAGCGTGGTACAGAGGGTCAGGCAGAGGGATGGTCAGGAGCGAGCCGGGATCAGAGCAGGAAAAGTCAGCAGCGGTTCAGATCAGGCAGGGTCAGCAAAGGAACAGAAACAGGATGCAGGACAGATACAGGGCCCAGGACAAACACAACACCAAGGCAGAGTCTGCAAGTCTGGCCATCCCTTAAATACACCAGTATCATCAGTTCCAGGTGTTAGCTGGCTGAAAGGTTGAGTCTCTGATTGCTGGGAGCACCCGCTGGCCAGCCCTGGTACTGCAGATCAAAAGGCAGGTGAGTCCCACCATTGCTGGCCAGTCCATTCCTGACAGCCCTGCCATCGGGTGGTCATGGCAATGGCCCAAGACCAGGGTTCGGATTTCCTCTGGCTGGCACCATAATCCGATCTTCCTTCCATAGGAGTCCCCCCTTGTTCTGGAGGGGCACCCCGGCTGGGATGGGTATGGCCGTGGATGCCTCCACTATCTTGGAACGAAGGTCCGTCTGGAGCGCCAAGAAGTTTCCCAAAGACAGGATAGTGTCGGGCGCTGGGACCTTCTTGGCGTCCTCGTACATGCGTGACAATGCATCTGGCTTCGTATTTTTTGATCCGGCCTATATGTAATGTGGAAATTGAATCTTGAGAAGAACAATGCCCATCTCGCCTGTCGTGGGCGTAAGCGTTTGTTGGCGGTCCTCAGGTACTCCAGATTCTTGTGATCCGTAAATATCAAGATGGGGTGTGAGGCACCTTCCAGCAGGTACCTCCATTCCTCTAACGCTGTCTTAATAGCCAGAAGTTCACGATCGCCGATATCGTAGTTCCTTTCCGCCGGGGTGAGTTTCCGTGAGAAGAATGCCACAGGATGGAGCAATTCCCTGGTGCCCTTTCACTGGGATAGGATGGAACCTACCGCATTCTCTGATGCATCTACCTCCAAGATGTAGGGTAAGGCGGCATCGGGGTGACCCAGGATGGGTGCCGAAGTGAATAGCTTCTTCAAAGCTTCAAAAGCTTCCTGCGCCTCCGGCGTCCACCTGAATCGAGTTCCAAACTTGGTTAGCTGAGTAATGGGGGAGACCAGACCCGAGAAGTTCTTGATGAACTTGCGGTAAAAGTTAGCGAACCCAACAAACCGTTGGACGCCCTTCCTGTCTGTGGGTTCAGGCCAATCCAGTATTGCAGAGACTTTCTGAGGGTCCATCGCGACCCCCGCGGTGGAGATAATCAGACCCAGAAAAGTAATGCTAGACTGTTCAAAGCAACATTTGTCAGCCTTGGCGTATAAGCCGTGCTGCCGCAACCGCCCTAATACCCTTGCTACATGAACTCTGTGCTCCCCCAGAGAAGGTGAAAAAATCAAAATATCGTCTAAGTAGACGATAACAAAAGACATCCAGGAAGTCCCTAAAAATGTCGTTCACAAAGTGTTGGAAAGTGGCTGGTGCATTGCACAGACCGAACGGCATGACCAGATATTCAAAGTGGCCAAAGCGGGTGCGGAATGCCGTCTTCCACTCCTCCCCCTCCCTTATGCGAACCAGGTTGTATGCTCCCCTTAAATCCAGTTTCATGAACACCACTGCAGCCTTTAAACTCTGAAATAACTCTGGTACCAATGGCAGGGGGTAACGATTTTTGATTGTAACTCTATTCAATTCCCGGTAATCAATACACGGTCTCAAGGTCTTGTCCTTTTTTTCTACAAAGAAAATCCCTGCCCCTGCCGGAGAGGTAGAGGGGCGGATGAATCCCTTCTGAAGGCTGTCCTCAATGTATTCCCTCAAGGCCCCCAATTCGAGCTCCGAAAGGGGGAAGATCCGCCCAAAAGGGATCTCTGAGCCAGGTAACAGGTCGATAGGACAGTCATACGGGCGGTGGGGGGGTAGAGTATCTGCTCCCCGTTTACTGAATACATCAAGGAATTCATGGTAGGCTGCAGGAATGACCTGCCTTAATTCAGCATCCCCTTCCGAGCACACGAGGATCTGGGGAACCCCCGGGCCCGAAGTGCGCAGTGTTCCCGACAGTATGGGGAAGGGAACGAGACTACCCTGGTCTCCCAGTCAATCTGGGGGTTATGAGCCCGTAACCACGGAAGCCCCAGAATGACTGGAAAAAGGGGTGATGCGATGGCATCCAAGTGGAGGAGTTCCTGGTGTTGGCTGGCAATGGTGGTGGCAATGGAAGGGGTCTCCTGGTTAACCACCCCTGATCTTATCCGGGACCCATCGGCCAGAAATATGTTGAACCCCTTTTCTTTTGGTTGGAGGGGAATACCCTGCTGGTGAAACAAAATTAATATCTACAGAACAGCTGCATGCCCCCGAGTCAATTATGGCTGTCACTTCCACGGTCCTTTCTGGAAGCTGAAAGGAGAGGGGCACAACTAAGTATTGGGAGGAATTGACATCGCCAACAGATAAGGAAGAAGAGGTGCACTTACTCAGTTTCTGCGGGCAGGATCGTACCATGTGACCAGCTTCACCCACAGTAGAGGCATAGGTTCTGGGAGCGTCTGCGCTGGCGTTCCTCTGGAGATAGCTTAGGTCGCGCCAGGCCTAGCTGCATGGGTTCAGGAGTATCCTCCGGTGGTGGGTTCTGGAAATGTGGCCTAGTGGATTGGCTGGGACCCTGGAAAGACCCCAGGTACTTCCGTGACCCTGACCGACCTCTCAAACCTGCGTTCCCGCAGTCTACGGTCAATCTTGATGGTTAGTGCAATTAAAGTCTTCTAGCGCCTCAGGCATTTCTACCCGGGCGAGCTTGTCTTTCAGGGCCTCTGACAGGCCCATACGGAACTGGTGCACAAGGGCAAACTCGTTCCAGCGTGTGTCCCCCATCCAACGCCTAAAATCAGAGGCGTACTCCTCCGCCGCCCGTCGGCCCTGCCGGAGTGTGTACAAGGTTGCTTCGGCCGAAGCTGCCCGCTGTGGGTCATCATATAAGATGGCCATTGCGTCAGAAAAACCGTTAACTGAGCCTAGGTGGGGGTCATTGTTCCCTCTCAGTCGGTGGGCCCAGTCTTGGGGTTCACCCTGCAGGAGGGAGATGACAAACCCCACCTTTACTGATTCCGTCAAAAAGGTACGAGGTTGTAACTCGAAATAGAGAAGGCAGGACTCACGGAACGACCTGAAGCGTGTGCGATCCCCGTGAAAACGCTCCGGTAGGGGTACCCGGGGTTCGGCCATAGGAAGTGGTGCTCAGGGGCCGCTACGGGCGGAGGTGCAGGGACCGGGGCCTGTGGTGCTGGGACAGATATCGTGCAGGCCTGGAAACGATTTTCAATCTGTAAACACCTGTCCTGTAATAAGTTTACAGCTTGCGTCAAGGTAGCCAGGTGCCTACAAACTTCCTCCAGCGGGGAGGGTCCTCCTCGAGGCTCCGTCATGGCCTTCTGGTACTGTAAGGGACCACCCAGCGGTACCACTAGCACTCCACTAAATAGGCGTTCCCAGAGCATGGAGTCTAAGTCCCAGGGTGCTTGTTCACCAGGACCCCTGATGGTGGGGATGGACTTGGAGCCCCCCGAGACCAGGTCGTGACTACTGGGCAAACCCGTGAGTGGTAGTGGTATTCGTCCAGGGCTCCCGCGGGGAAGAGCCTGATATGAGGAGGTCAGAAGACCCCACTGGGAGGGATGGATGGATGGATGGCTGAGCAGGTGCGAGGTCAGACAAGCCGGGTCGGTAACAGGGAGGGAGGACGGTATGGTACAAGGCAGCAGGCAGAGAATAGTCGGGTCACACACCAGGTCAGCAACAGCAGGTCAGATCCAATAGGGGGCATTCAAGAGAGAGGTCAGTCAAAGCAAGGGTCAGGGCAGGAGAAATACAGCAAGGTCAAAGCACAATCCGGGTCAGCAACTTACAATTCACAGGTTACAGGATACAGGATTCAGGTAAGACCAGAAGGCACTGAATGACAGCTCAGGGCCATTTAAATATCCTGCCCTGCGCTGCCATTGGTGCCCAGCGGGCGGCCGCGGCTTCTACTGCGCATGCGTGAACTCGAACGCCGCGGCCGGCCCGGACCTAGTGCCCGAGTCCCTGCACAGGGCGGCACACTGCGCCTGCGCCGGGACCATCGCGGCGGGGATAGAGGAGATCCCTGACAGTAACATAGTGCCTTATCCTTTTTATGTAGCTTTATTTAATGAAAAATAATGCGCACTCACATGAACAAAAATCAAAAACCGCTATGAAATTGCCTCAACCATGTGCCCATGCACTTTGTCAGTACTCGCCGTGAATCCGAACTGGCGTTGTGACGTCAGAGCCCCTCCCCTACACGTTGCGCCACTGGGTCATGTGGCTTCATCTGGGGGAATCGATTGTACGCCACAATGCTGGTATCCTTTATATAGGTTATCTGGGCGCCATCTTAATTGGGCCATATTACCTCTATACAATTGTCAACAATGCATTACTCCAATGCATCATGACTTTTAGATACAAACTGCCTCTATGTCATATCTCTCTCCTCCCTACACTCTGATCTACTGTCACTAGTACTGACAATGTGTGGTAAGGCACCATTATTGCAATGTTAATACATAATAAATGCATTATAAATCAATTAAATACATCAAATAAGCATACATACTAATTAAAATATTTTTTTATTATCTACTTAAAAACTACAGTGTTTTATTTAATGGATACATGAACAGAATGAATCCTTAATGTATGTATTGGAACTAATTAAATGAATTCTTTATTAGTGTTGCTATATTAACATGAAATATATAAATGTAGATACAAAATACTGAAATAATAAAGAAAAGAAAAAAAATAAATAAAAATCCTAAAATATATTTAAACTAAAATAAAAAATAATAAAAATATTGATGTATAAAAACAATTTCCAATTTTTTTCCTATTCCCATTTCTACCCCCTCTTCCTCATCGGCCCTCTCCTCTTCTGGAGTTGGAATGGACTGGGGAGGGGGTGGGGGAGGCTATCGTGGTTGAATCCCCACAGTTGGAGGGTTGTTTGCTGGCACTGAGATGGTTACGGTGCCAAGATTTCGCTGGGCCTTTCTTCCCTTCTGGACAGATTTGAGAGACAGGCAGGTCTGGCAACTTCCAACAAATGACATGTGGTTGAGATTCCCACGAACTGCAATTTTGTGCTTCCTTGGAACCCTGAGGTTTTTTAGTAGCACTTGATCCCCGG